TGAGCGCGCAGCTTCTGCTTCTCCGACTCCACGGCGCTCAGGTGGCTGGACAGGGCGATGATCACCTGGTGTAAAAGGAAATTGTAAAAATCCTATTAGAATGACCACAAAAATATCTGTTTCTTTGTTTCTTTGTGCACCAACTCTGCCTCATGATCAAGAGGTGAACAAACACCTTGGTCCACAGATACACATTAGGAGGTTCTTATCTATATCACATATTAAGATGCTGCCTAGCAACAGGTTAGAATGACCTGCATTCAGCATGTATGCACCAATCACACCTTCTAAGGATCGTATAATTTTTGTTTCAAAAGATTCATTTATATCAACAAAGCTTCTTTCATGCATGATATATCACAAAGCCATCAGGCTGCCTAGTGACGATCCAAGATGACCTGTTTATTGCCTTTGTAAAAAAAAAAAAAACCCTTATAAAAGCATCTTATTGTATTAAGTTCACAATAGAGTGTGAACTTCAGTGTACAATTCAGTGTAAACATCAAAAACCTAAGTGTCTGTCTCTCACCTGTGCCTCTCCCAGACCCAGCTCAATGGCTTCCAGACTCTTGCGCAGCAGCCCCGACTTCTCTTGTGCAACAGGTGGCTGGGTGCAGTCCAGCAGAGAGTTTAGGAGCTGGGCGTGCTCGCCACGCAGCGTCTCCAGACCCTGCATGACGGTCTTAGTGTTAAGGACGATCTCATCCTGGCTCAGTCGCTCCAGGGCTTCTTCACGTGGATACACCATGGTGGACATTGCCAGGTTTCACACACACTGTGAGAAAAGGGAAGGAAAACCTACATTTACTTACATTTCTGATTCACATTCTGCCCTGCTTGAAACCCTCAAAACATTAGGTGTTCAGTGTAACCACATCCTGCCACAGAAGGTGGCAAAGAAACAGAAACGAGCGATGATTAATTTGCGGCGTGAGGACATAATGACACAACAGATGAGACAAATAGTGGAGTAATATTATGACTCAAACCCAGCGCTGCAGACAGTTCCTCTATCCACCTGCTCATGAATGAGAAATACCACACCGGAAACACTTAAGGACATGATGGGGCGCAAACGAAGAAAATGGCAGCAAACAAAAGTAATGAGGAGAACAAAATGAGAAACACTGACAACGCGAATGAAGGGACTGTTCCTGAGATTCACTTCCTGTTTGGCATCATCCTGTAAATGATGGAGTTAAAAGAGATGGATGAAAAACAAAAACCACGCAGCACAAGCGTGTCTTGTTATGAACAGAAGGCACGCTGTATAAAAGCTTCCCGACATCAGACAGAAAGAGAAAGGTTGTCTGTGAGATTGTATACTGGACGTATAATTAAAGTAAATTTAGCCGGAAACAAACACAGACCAGCAAATCCAATTAACAGGAGAAGTGATCAGTGAACAAAGCTAACCTTGTGAGGGCGGGGCAACGATTATCACAGCGGCGTCGGATTTAGAGCCAGACGGACATCTGGATGAAATGTTATTTTAAACTAAGACAAATGTCCCAACATCTGTAGCAGCATAACTGAGCAGACTCTTAAAAAGCCAGCAAATGGATCAAATTATAGCCTCAGAGAATATTAGACTTTAAACTTGAGTTTCCTTCTCCAATTACATCTTTATCTCTAAAAAAAGATTACTTTTTAGTGTAACTTTGCTACTTTAACCTCAGAAAAATTCTGTTATTTAAGTTGGAATTTTTCTGCCCTTCATAAATTTACATCTTTAATACAAAAAAAAAACATTGGAGCATATTTTTTCTTTGTATGTATGCCAGATAATAAACTAACCAATTTACTCTTAGAACATCCATCTTTTCTTTTTCTTCAGATATTCACAGCTCTAACCTTTAGAAAAGTGTATTTTTACAGTAATTTTTATGTTTTTTCCTAATAGATTTACAATTTTTTAAAATCTCAGAATATCAAACTTCTTTCCTGTAATTCTCAATCATACATTTACAACTTTAACTGATCTCTCACAACCTAAAGGCAGATCTTTAAATTGACTTCCTGATCTTCTGGGAGTACTCACAGTAAATGTAGTGCTATATGGTCTTTAAATCATTGGTCATGATTTGTCATGTCCATGATGAGCCTGGCAGATACACGTGTGCACTGTGAATCCTTCCAGCCAGGAAAAGAGAAACATTCATGCTGCGTATTAATATTTAGATAACATTTACAAAGTCCAATATCCAAACCGTGGGCCACTTCTGGCACAGTAAACGGCGACTTTCCCCCTTGAGCATGCGCACTGTCTCCATATTGACCAGATGTAAGTGAAAGGGTTGCAGCCGCAGCAGGAGGAGAAAGAGGTCGTCAGAGGAGCCAAATGTGCAACATCGTGACTTTCTCTCTCTCCCAGCTTTGATGGAGGAGGCGCACCTGTTCTGTTCTCCTCTCCTGCTCCCTCCCTTCCTCTCTCACCCATCCTCCTCTCCCACCCCCTCCCATCTTGCCTCATACACTTGACTGCAATGCACCAATATTCACGCTTCCTTTCAAGTCCACCGCTTCACAAATGCAGAAGAACAGAGCTAACTGTGCGGGCGGACAAACGAGCGGCAGCAGGAAATGATCGCGATCGCATACCCCTCACGTTTGAATTAAACCCTTCAGAGCCATGAATAAAGGCAGGAGCCGGTGGATGGCCGAGGCCTAATGCCGGGGAGGAAGTCAGCAGATCAGTGAAGGTGACCGACAGCAGAGAGCACTGCTCAAAAAGCATAAAGCTACAACAGACGATGAACATTAGGCCAAATAAATGCCTGTCCATCGCTGAAAACGTGTTGATGTGTCTGGTCCCGACATGCAGCCTGTTTGTAAACAGTGCAGGCCCGATCCTCCAAGGTGTTACACAACACAGAGATGCGTATCATTATTATATCATTATCATCATCAGCACACGCAGGGCTGCATTATTTACAATATGCACACATAATCCCGCAACAAACACCACGTAAAGAGCGATGCTTCATTTCTAGCGACAGATTTATCGACCTGGCCGTCCCACTGCTACAAATATACCGACAAACTGCCCTCATGCAACATAAACTACAATCTATTCTGACCGTTTAAGTGCACCGTAGTGCAGGTATTATTATTATTTATCCTCAGTTTTACCTTCATCGAAGATAAACGCAGCAATTACAGAGCCTCGAACAAAGCGGCAGCACAATGTTGTGATGCTCGGGACAGACCCGCGTCAAGTTTACCAAAACGAACAAGCGTCCGGTGCCGGTTTTTCAAAATAAAACTCCATTTACAGTTAGACAAGTGGCAATGGGAAGATAACGGCATCCAAGGACGAAACGGAGAGTGCTCTCTCAACGCTGAGCAACTTGTACTAATACACGAAAACACGGTCCGCTTGTTTTTCTAAAATTCACTTCGCAAAGCAGCCATTAAATTAAAATTAGCTTTACTTTGAAGACTAATGGGTGACGAGAGCTGCCGCTAGCACACCTGCTTTGTTGAATTAACACGCCTGCAGTTATTTGTAGATAAACCGAAATAGCTCGCGCACGCTACTGAGTTTACTTTAATGCGATTACGGCAACAAGTTTAACTGAGCTAAAAGCCACCTTGGCTAGCTGCTGTTTACGTTTTTCTTCACTTTAACTTACCCAGCTGTCACTTGACAGTAGCTGACGGGGTGGACACAGCTAATATTTAGCTGTGTTTTTAACTTTAACCTCGGTGTTCACAGTATAAGCGACTGAACCTTTATTCGGCATAAAACTGATTATTTTGTGGATGTGCTTCAAAATTTGACAGAGAAAACGAAATGGCTGAGTTCCCAGAGACCCCAACCAAAGATTGAACAAGCACTAAGATGATTTACGTTCGACCTTTTTCAGTCAAGGCGGGGAATACATCTTGCGCATGCGTATAGTCGAGTTGTCGCTCTTGCAACATCCGAGCGTCTGAATTTTACGGTATATCAGTTTCCCTCAAGACTCTATTTAATATAATAACCTAAATTGACATGGTGTAAATTATTATGCTATTTGCATGGTATTGTTTAGTAACGTTAAGGTAAAATAGGAAAACGTAATTGCTCCTATTCTCTATCTTACTTGTTAAGCACCTTGGCATACCCATGGTTTTTAAGTGTGCTTTATAAATAAAGTTTATTATTATTATTTATTGTAAAACGTTCACTCGGCGACATCTTTATATGGATGATTAGTTACGATAAAATATTGTTTTAAAAAAATAAAAGCAACAACAATACAAACACTTGATATGAATAATGAATTTTTAAAACTCGTAGACTATTTACAAAACAGAAGTTTGGATATAATTCTCTTGGTTTGCTAAAGCTCTTTGTCCGATGATGTCACCAGCATCCTCCATCCACAGGACCCGCTGCCTTGTTTCACAAGTATCACGTGCTAAGCTTAATTTATACTTTTTACACTTTATGCATTCATCAGAAATCTGATTTTACTCTCCAACTTTAACATGGCTGTATTTGTTTATCTCCAACAAAGACTATAATTAGTAAAGTTCCCATTATTTCTGCAATTTTACGTCATTGAGCAGCACATATTAAGTGATATTTATCCAGACAGGCTACAGTGTCTGCATCAGTTTGTTCCACTTCAGAAATAAGCTGTATGGAGCTGTAGTACAAGCACACATCTGTAGTCCAGTAAGAGGAGACAGGGCTACAAATCAAGAATATCTTTATTTAAAAAAAACAATGAAACAATGAAACACTTCCACTTCTCATCCCACATCTGTTTGATTGACAAACGTAATCATGAAAAAAGCGGTACTACAAAACATGTCAAATTAAAAAAAACAAAAGCAAAAAAATAAAGAATACAATATAACAAGTACTATTCTGATATGTACAAGCATCATTGTTTCTTATAGTATTGTTATAGGCAAAAGGCAAAAAAGCTGAAGACTGCTGCTGAAGAAATGATGGCATGTGCAAAATACTCTTCACAAGTCCACAAGCTCAGGGCGCTCTGTTCTGAGCAGAACCTCGGTCGGGTAGAAATCTACTGCTTTCACAGGTAACTCACATTTTCATGAAGACAGGTGGCAAAATTAAATTAAATTAAAACGTGTGAGGGGGTAACGGCATGCTCTCAGAAAGGTGAGCTTGTGGAGGCTTGGTGAAGAAGAAGACTCTCATCACCAGAAGGATGGCAGAGAGAGAAAGACACTGCTGACCACTGACAGATTACTGATGGACCGAACAGCTCCTAATCTCTAACCACGACTAGTCAAGGACAGAGGAACCATCGTCACAAACACATTGACACAGGTACGGAGGTACAGGTATTAAAAAAAAAAAAAGAAATACACAGCAACACTTTCAGGACTTACACAGAACAACCAGCTTGTTCAGAGAGACGGCAGGAGAACATGTAAATGGGGTGAAATCAGTTTTTGTTAGGTGATAAGGAATGAGACTGTGTTGACAATGCAATAACTTCAAAACAAGGATCACTTTGCTGTTAATGTAGGGTGTTTTCAGGCTATCAGCATCCACCAAAAACTCACATATCTCTGGATATTCTCACAATTTCTTCACATTTTAGTTTCTGGCAGTGATTTTTAATCCCTCTAATGCTCAGTTTCAGTGATCTCCCTCTGAGCGCACAAGTTGAAGAGGCATGAAAAGACTACGCTTAATTTCAGGAAATCGCATCATCGCAATAATTTGGCTAACAATACTACAAGGCAAAGAGCATTTTGACTCAATTAGAGGTCTCTTCCAACAGCAGATACTCGAGCCCAGCTGCAATTTACGTTAAAAAGTTGAAGGTTTCGTTCCAAATATTGTACAAATTTCGCAAATTTAAAAATGCCGTACCACACTTCCATACTAAAGTTAGAAAAACCTACTATTTCAACACTACGAGTTCATACATTTAGCAAATAGTTTTGAGGTTGCCATGTAGTGGGGAAAAGAACCACTGCCTCATTGACTGAGTCCTAATATACATTATATGGACAAAAGTATTGAGACACACCTCCTAATGTTTGAATTCAACTGTTTTCAGACCCGTTGCCACAAAAATCATTCATCTAGCCAGACAGTCTGCCTTTACAACATCTGTGAAAGAATGGGCAAAGAGCTCACTGAATTTGAGTGAGGTGCTGTAACAGGGTGCCACCATTGAAGTATTTCCCTCTTTAATATCCCACTGTCAGCTGTAAGTACTATTACTAAACAGGAGTAACCATGGCAACTTATCCACGAAGTTCCCGACCACATAAAGTTCCAGAGTGGGGTCACCGAGCGATGAGGGATATGGCATAGACATTAACATCAGCACAAAAACTGTGCGCCGGGAGCTTCACAGCATGCGTTTCCATGTGTAACATGTAGCTGACTCAGGTCTTTTGTCCATATAGTGCATCTAGTATTTTAATCATTATTTTCACAGTTCTTATTTTGCTGACCTAATGATGCAGAAACTCAACTCTGGCTGACTTTACTGGAAGGAGTTAAAATGTGGAGTGGGAACTGTTTTAGTTTCTAAAGAGGGGGACACAACAGAATATGCTTTTAGCTCAGTTTTGGTCTCCACCAACTCTTATTTGACGCTTAAGTTTCTCCTCTCGGTTTCCAGGAGGCATTTTACGCTTAAGCCAGTATCTTTTAAAGGAATTAGTAGTGGAATGAAACCTCCTGTTTTTAGTTTGGATCGAGCAACCTCTACGTCAAACCACAGTCCATCATCCAGGAACCCTAAAACCCGACATATTGTATGTAAGGCAGCTCTCTGTCTGTAAGGGCCTTCAGTGGTTGTCATCACGAGGAAAAAGAGGAGCCTCATTTCTAAAAGTCTGTGATCTCTACTGTCTTAACAAAACTAATCAGTCGTTCACACGTAAACTGAATTCAATACATTCAAATTTTTTTGAATTCCTTAAACAGGAAAGGAAAAAAAAAGAAAAGAAAAAAATCAATCCGCAGCTAGCTGAGTGTTTGCTCGGTGGTGACCGCTCGTTAGCGAAGCGTTGTGTAACAGGAGAGGAAAAACAGAGATGGACATGTGCCGCCGACATCACAACTGTAACACTTTAAACGCCGACACAGGAGAAAAAGAAACAAAAAAACACTTTGAGATCGACTTTCAAACAAACCAAAAAAAAGTCATTTAAACCAAGAAATTGGCATTAACACTATTTTAAAAAAGCTGTATTAGTAATACTTCACTGGAGAGTGTTATGATGTAGGTGACACAAGGCAGAATCATTAAAAACGACTGTTATAAATCCACAAACATTCTTAGATTTTAGCTCCAATGGTTCCCTCTGTCATTAAAAGTTCAGTTAACCTTCAAGCTTGTCCAATTTTTACTGTTTAATCAAGAAAAACAAACTGTATTCGCCTTGTGCCAGTCTACAAAGTGAACAAGATGACCACTGCAGCTTTTGCAGCTCTAATCAAATAGTCACTGACATCAACACACACGCACACTTACACACCAGCTGCATGCCCTCTGTCACATGGTAAAAAAAACAATTCCTCCTCTCAAGTGATTTTTTTTTTTAAAGTTTCTGATCACATTACATGTATTTCACACCACACACACACAAACACACACTTGTTACCAGTTACTGTACACTCACTAATCACCTCATGACATCCTAGAGAAAGCGTGTAGTGGAGAGGCAAAAACAAACAACAACGAAAAAAGGTCAGTAAGGAGCTGAAAGACAACGAGCACGCTCTGTGAGTTTCCACCAGGTCTGCTGTTCCCACTGAAAACAAAGCTGCCAGTCTAGCCAATAAAATGAAGACAGGTTTTTTTTTTTCAGGTGGGGGTGGGGGGGACATCGGCCACAACGTTGTGCTTCACTGCAAGTAACTAACTCCCATTTTTACAGCGCGAACACTGAAAGAAAAAACAACAGCTTTTCCCGTTAAGTGCTGTAAGAGTTTCGGATGGTTTAAACATGCATTTTGCTGCTTTCTGTTGCATATGTATTTATTTCTGCTGTTAACGAGAGTTAAACTTTTATTGTTATTTTTTTAAACACCCAAAACGGTCCACGTGTAATCGTACGGTAAGTGCATAGCAAATAAAGATGAAAGAAAATGCACACTACGGTAGCCCCTGCCCTGATGTCTTGGATCTCTTCACAGTAACAAACACTATGCATCACGACACAGCTTTGCAGGGAAGGGTTGGACATTTCTCACTACTGCACTTTTTTTTTAAAGGACACTTGACATTTACAGGTTGTTGTTTTTTTCTCTTTTTTTTTGGTTTTCTTAAGAGGAAATATTTGCCATTAGACATCCAAATCACCTACAGAGGAAATATATATATAGATATAGTATGGAAGCCCTTGAAATTAAAAAATAAACCAACAGGATTTGTTGAAGGGCATTTTTTTTTCTGCTAACATAGGGTGAGGGGGGGGGGAATCCATTAAAACGCCAGCTTTGTTATTTGGCTGCACGTTCTTAGTGACTTGTGCACACGCTGAGGCGCTGTTGCACTAATTTGGAGTTTGTTTGCGGCACATGGTTGGTGTATCTGTTAGTTTAGAGCATGCATGTGAGGATCGGGGGTCTTCTGAGGGGGGCGGGGGCAGTCTTTGAAACCGGTGAGTGGTTGCATGCTGCTGCATTCCATAGAACGGAAACATAAAAGGCAGTTAGCTAATAATCTTGTGCTGTGGTCCCCTTGTAAACACACACACACACACACACATACTGTACATTCACGTGTGCATGCATACTCACGGAGCACACCGACACACACAGAAAGGGGGCAATAATAAAGTGACTAGTAACAGCACTGCACCCCAGCGCTACCCTCCCTCCTCTCCCTAAAGACAAATAAGACAACTGAAGCCAAAATGAGATTAAGGAAAAGGAGAAAGTCCAGCTGCTTTATGTCCTCCCTCAGCTCTGCGGGCGGCTGAGAGGTGGGGTTTGTGTGGAGGGCAGTCGAAAGGTCAGGTCAGGTTAGAGGAGTCGAGGCGCTCGGCCCTACGAGGGAGGCTTGCTGTAGCCGAAAAGTCCGACAGGTAGGTATTTGACGTGAGTGGGCCACTGGGCGGCCAGCTGGAAGAACTTGACGTCGTTCCACTCGACGCCGTCTATGGACACTGGTGGGAGATGGAAACGACGGTGAGGATAAGCTACAATGTGAGCAGGAAAGAAACAAAGCTGCTCGCGATCATCCAGCTCACCTTTCAGGATGGTCTGCTGCTGCTTGGCCGAGCAGATGAGTCGACTGATGCCTTCGATGACCTGGCTCTTGGAGTCTACGTCCTTCTCTTTGGGCTTCTTCCCCAAGAAGATGGTAGGAACTGAAGGGAGGAACAAACACCAGAGTCAAAGTGCTGTGTGATGGAGGGAGACGGCGACTGGGTGGCAGTGTGTGAGTCTAGATTTAGACTGGCTTACTTCAATTGCATTTAAATCTCTAGTATCCCACTACAGAGGACGCATATATATACCCTGCTTCTCAGAGTATGCGCTCTGAACATGGATCTGAGGGATTTCTTTTAAAGACTTGTCCAAAGGGCTTTGCAGTAACTATTTTAGGGCCTGTCTGCAGGGAACCTGGCTAACTGCAACAAGCCTGCAAGTCAAAAACACTTATTTAGTGATAACAATGTAATATGGCCTCAGTCTGTGCTGAATGCAATACAGGGATCATTGTAAGAAAGAAATCAGTGAAATTAATCAATCGTTATTAATATTACAAATTTTAGTTTCAAGTGAAGCCATAATCATAAAAATGATTTAAAGCATCAGATTTGAAACACCTCACCTTTTTTGTTCTTCTCCTTGGTGACCACAGTCATGGCCATGGTGCTGACCTGGGCCTGTGGATCGCTGCTGCCCCCGCCTGGTAGCCTGCTGACCTGCAGCGAGCGGAAGGCGCTCTTCAGCGTGTTCTTGCAGCCCGTGTCGCGTCGCTCTCCCTCCCGCCGCTTCTCTGCCAGAGAGGCCAGCCAGTAATCCACCTGCAGGCCGATGGCGTCCACGCCGTGGGACATGCTGGGGCTCCTGTGGACAGACAGCGCGTGCATGAGCGACTTCCTCAGGCCCTTCGTGACAACTATAAAGCATCGTAACTGAGCTTTCCTATTATTCTCTGGTCTCTCATATCAAACTTGTGAAGAACTTAATTATTAACATATTAATCTGACATTATTTGTAGTTTTTAGTTTCAGCAGAATACACAGATGCAGTGAGGGGTTCTGCTCTGGTCCAATTATGAGACATACATACATCTAACTTTTCTTTACATCACAAACACATTTGTAAGATAATTTAACAGCTTCACGAGCAGACCGACTTGAATCTGACAGCTGAATTTCATTCATCATGTTCAACACACTCCCCAAAATGTAAAAGATCAGATCAGTGATCTCTGCAGAGAGGCACTGCAGCAAAAAAACATCTGATTCAGTGGCTGAAGCATCAAAGAGAGCCTCGATTTGGAAGAGGATCTCAGAGAAACACGAACAACTCGCTGCCTGTTTGCTTAAAGAACAAGCAGACGGCTGATTAAAAGGCATTTATCCCTCTGCCACAGCTCAGTACTGACAGCATCATCAACATGCATGCTGACAGCTGAGACATCAACAGAAAAACATACACAAATGCAGAAAATCAACCTGAATAAAATAAACGGTTGTTTAAATATCTACATCTGAGGACTTGATTTAAAGCACATCAGTATAATTACAAGATCCTGTAAAGAAATATGAATGTTAGAGAACTCTTACCCTTGAACTGTGAGCACACTCCCCATGGAGGGAGAGGAGGGAGGCGTGGCTGTCTCTTTGATCATCCCGGTGGGAGAGCCGTGGGAGGGTGGTGATGTGGAGGGGACAGCGAGGCTCACTGCTACACCCTCCTCTGCATCTCCTTCATAACCCAAATGGAAATAGCGTGAAACCCTAAATCGAATTCTTTTTTAACATCTTTTGACGTTTTCCAAACACTCACCTGTTGGAGACTGACCAGACTCGATCAGACCAACCTTCACCACCTGGAAAACAAGAAGGGATGTCAGCCAAAGATCCTGAAGATGAGCAGCAGCAAAGGTTAAAAGTTCCCACTCAAGAGTAGAATTCTCACCCCAATAAAAGGAATGAACTTCTGGTAGGAGTCTTCATCTCGCCTGGGAAACGGACAGTGAGCGGTGTTTGTTAAAGAAGACCTAAAAGATCAAAGATCTGGCGCGTGTTCGCTGACATCTGTACTCACGTTCTGTGCTTGCAGGTTAGCATGGCCTCGGCGATGGGCAGCTGGTGTGTTACTGTAGCTCCGCTGATGTATTGGGAAATTCTTCCTGCCACATCCAACTGATCTGCAGGAGAAAATAAAACAATTGGAGAAGTGAATAAACGTGCGAAATGCTGAAGAACGTCCTGAGGGGAGACGGCACGTGTGGTACCTGTCTGCGGCGGCTCTGAGCGACTGAACACGTCTCTCCACGCCCCGTCCAGAAAGGAGGAGCTGTAGCGATTGTCGAGGGCTCCGAGGTGTTTAGCCACAGGATGAGAGCCTGACGAACATAATGAGAGAGCAGGAAGGAGGAAGGATCGAGGAGTTTAATGAGCTAACACGACTGCCTGTTCCTCCTACCAATGTGCCAACAATCAAGACATACTAACAAGTTACAGCATTTCCCAAAGTCCAATTAGCATGCAGACAAGTGACTGTGTGCACCAGACATCACTTCCTGCAAAGCCGTAAAACTTTGCTGCGGTCTGACTCTGCAGGAGGAGACAAAAGCAGGCTCTCTCACCCAGCGGCACCACCAGGAAGCGCATGTGGTTCAGCCAGTCAGACGTCTTGTTGGCGAGCTGGGTGACGAAGAACTGCAGGATGGCTCCCAGGTAGCTCTGGCTGCCCACCGCCACCACCTTCACTGGTCTGGGCATGGACGAGTTACAGTTGCAGCTACAGGGAAAAAGAAAGAGAGAGAGAGAGAAATACTCATTACTCAAGAATCAAAAAGTTTGATCATTGTCTCAAAACATACTTTCCTGTTTTAAGAAACACAACCTAATCTCTATTGGAAAATATCCTAAAAAAATAGATTTCTTATTACAGTGTGTCCTACAGATGTGCCTTGGTGCACATCTGAGATGAAGCACATCAAACTAGTGAGAATTCATTCAGTGCTCAGGAACCCAGACTGTGGGCGTTTTTAAAGGACATAGTACACACAGGTGTATGAAAACTCTAGTTTTAAGGACGTTTCCTGTGTGGATCGCCCTTCATTTTTTATACTGAATTCCATTTGAAGTGGGAAGTCAGAAATCCAGAGTTCCCACTCAGAATTTTCAGCCAGAACACCCTCTCAAGATACACTATCCCACCCAGAAAGCTGGAGAAGCCAATCTAACTCCAACTTCACAATCCAAGATGGCAGCTCAGAGCGTAAACTGCACTAAGACTGTGGAACTGGTCCTCTGTACTATTACTGATGTGTATTCATGACTTGCTAAATAATCACTGACCAGGCTCTATCCATGAATGTGCTGCAGAGGTGTTTTTAACAGCAGAAATACAGGCACTGCGTTGCACCCTAGGTACTGTTACTGATGGCTAGGAAGCTAAATAAAACCTGTTATTGTGGCTGTACTGTAATGGGTTTGACTTCAGTCCCAGCTCCTGCATTAGAAAAAGAAACACGAAGCCCCTTTTATTCCCAGACTACAATCTAACTGAGATTATTTAAGGCAAAATAGTCATTTTATATTTCTAACTATTGCTCTGATGACATTTCCTTCATGTTCAGGCAAATTTCATGCCAACAGTGCAAACATAAACCAGAAGAATTCCCACATGTGTGGGAGAGAGTGATAAGCAGAGGGACAAGCCAACGTGATGGACGCAGATATGGGAGACATAAAGTTTTTGTTGCTTTTATAAAGCAAAGTGAGTCACAGGGGCAAAAAAAGGAGGAGGAGAACAGAAGGAGCAAAATATATAAGGGTCAAAGGAAGAACAGAAGTCAGAAAAATAAGGCTCAGAGCAAGAGGAAAGACTAAACAGATGAGTCACTCTGCACACCAATGAGTCTAGCTCGCTCTGTGTGTGTGTGTGTGTGTGTGTGTGTGTGTGTGTGTGTGTGTGTGTGTGTGTGTGTGTGTGTGTGTGTG